AATTGCCCAAACTTTCTTCCAAGGAGTGGCTGGTGGGTTTGAACTGCCAGCCATCTGGTTAGTACTCAAATGCTTTAGGCACTATGCTACCCAAATATAAGTAACTGGAAATGAAAATTTCTAATTATGTCTGTAAGTTAAAAAGCATAATCTGATGCAAACATCTAATCAGCAATATGATGGCTGTCCAAAGCTTCTGAAGTTCTTTCATGAAGCTGAAGAAAACTCAGGTCCAGAAAACTGTTGAAAGTCATTATGCTTGTGAACAGCAAGGAAAATAACTAGGGAAGGTCTCTCTCTCTCTCTCTCTCTGTGTATATATAATAATACACACACACACACACACATTATAAATGATCTTGCAATATTATAAAGCTAAACATTCTGAGTCAACATAATGAAGGGATTTTTTTAATAAAAGAAGAAATGACAAGAAATCAAGAGGAAAAAAAAATGATACCTTCCTAATTGTTCTTCAATGTCAATTGTTCTTGGCTAGATCATTCTCATCTTCCTGATCTCTCAATATTTCTCATGACTTCCAAATTTATATCTCAGGCTGCAATCTCACCACTTAATTCCACACCTGAATATTCAACTATCTAACCACTAGTTCCACTCTGCTGTCAAATAGACATTCAAAGTTACCTTTTCCAAAATCAAATTCTTGATCCCGTATCCCCATATTTAATTATTCCTTACCCCTACTCTCCATGTATTTGCTATCTCAGTAAACAGCACAACCGTTCATGTACTTGCTCAGGCCAAAAACGTTGGAGTTATCTTTGGCTCTTACTCCCATACCCCACATGTAATCCATTATCAGATCATGCCATCATTACCTTCATTATATATCCAACCACTCCCCAACATTATATCGTTGGATAAGACGTATCTTTCCTGGCCCCTGAAGCAGCATCCTAACTAGAAGAAAGGTTTAAAAGAAGTGGAGATATGAATTTTGGAGTTATTGGCATATAGAAGGGAAAGGCAAAACCACGTAGGGAGAGTATATAGAACATTAAGAGAGGAAATCATGGGTTAGAACTCTGATAAATACATGTCATTTTGCTGAAGGAAGTTGTCAAGGAGGAGTAGCTTCCCTGGAAGACTAAGTTCCTTTATCCACAGAATGAGGCAAGAACTTAGAAACAGTGGTATCACAAGGCATGGGAAGACAGTATTTCAAGAAGCAAGGAACAGTAAAAAGTATCAAGGGCAACCTAGGGGATAAGTTCCATATAGAAATATTTATCTGGCAGCCAGAGAAGTCCTTTTAAAACGTAAGTTAGTTCATTTACTGACACCAATCCTACTCAAACTATTGCAAAACATACAAAAGGATTGAATCCTCTCTAACTCTTTTTATGAAGCAAGCATAACTTCATACCAAAACCATATGCAAAGACATCATTCAAAGGGAAAACTACAAGCCAATATCCCTCATGAATTTGGATGCAAATATCTTCAACAAAATGCTAGCCAATAGACTCCAATAACATATCAAGAAGATAATTCATTATGACCAAGTGGGGTTCATATCAGGTATGCAAGGATGGTTCAGCAATAGAAACACAGTCAATGTCATCCACCACTGTGGTGTAGTAAATTACTTAGTATGGCTTTTCTACCCATAAGTCACTGTAAACTCAGTGGTAGAATGAGCAACTGAGGAGCTCCTGACTGGAAATATTATCCACCTGGGTTATTTCTGTTGGGCATGGCACAAGGCAGTGTTCTGGGTGGCTCTCACTTTCAGGTGCTTAGAATTGTTGCTACGAATGGTTGCTTTGGCCACTCTGCCAAGCTCAAAAGGAGGCCTCCTAGAGGCAGAACTCTCTCTGACTAGTGGCTGAGGAAGGACGTACTACTGCGAGACACGTGCTGCTGGGAAAGAGACACAAGAGACATGCATTGTTGAGAGAGACACTGAGGGACACACACTGCTGGGAGAAAGACTGTAAGAGACTGTTTGTTGAGAAACGGCTGCCAGGAAAGAGACTGAGCATTTTTTCCTGAACTCAGCTTGTAGCCTGGTGCTTCCCTTAAAAACCCCATAATCTGTGAGTTCTGTGTGGCTGCTGCAGTGAATTATCGAACCCAGGAGAGAGCTGGTGGGTGCTTTGGGAGGAACGATTGGTGAAAGGGCTGAAGGGAGGCAGCATGTCTGGCCTTGTAGGAATAGGCCTTGGGTTACTGATGGTGATCCTGTCTTCCTCTTGTAGGGTGAGAAGAGATCGGCAGATGTGGCCTCCCTGCCCTTTTTGCAAACAGATAAATAAAACAAAGGAGAAGAACAACATGATCATATCAATCGATACAGAAAAGGCATTTGATAAAACCCAACACCCATTCCTGATGGGTGTCTCAGCAAAATAGGGACAGAAGGGCTATTCCTCAACATAATAAAGGACATCTACGCAAAACCAATAGCCAACATTATTCTCAATGGAGAGAGACTGAAACCATTCCCTTTAAGAACAGGAACCAGACAAGAATGCCCTCTACCACCAATTCTTTTCAACATTAGATTGGATGTCCTAGCCAGGGCAATAAGGCAAGAAGTGAGAGCCATGACAATAACAGATATATGCACACCCATGTTCATCGTAGTACTATTTACAATAGCCAAAAGATGGAAACAACCTAGTGCCCGTCAACTGAAGAATGGATAACCGAACTATGGTACATACACACAATGGAATACTATGCAATCCTAAAGAATAACATAGAATCTGCAAAATATTGCATAATGTAGATGAACTTGGAGGACATTATACTGAGTGAAGTAAGTCAATCACAAAAGGACAAATACTGTATTAGTCCATTATTGTAAAAAGTCAAGGAAAGGTTTATATATGGAAGGAAATTTTCTTTGTTGGTTACCAGGGGTGTCGGGGGGAGGGAACACTGTTAGATAGGTAGAGATAAGTATTGATTTGGGTGAAGAGAAGGGCAATGTACCAGATGTGAGTGATCAATACACTGGCATTGAGGAAAAGGAATACAGAGTGAGGTATATGGGAGGTACAGACAACAATGATGAAGCCTTTTACATATACAGTACTGTGTTGTCAGTGAAGGCAAACATGGATATACAAGTGGTTAGATGGGTGGACAGGCTAAACTATTAGGTATGTCTATGCAGGGGGGGAATGTGCCCAAGACCATGTATAGAGTTGGCAGACAATGTTCCTACAAGTGTATATGTGTGTTCTGTGAGAATTCCCAGGTATATAGTAGAGCTGACAAGGGACAAGGCTGTAGTCACTTCTTGGCCCCAGCCAGCTACCCAGAGGGAACAAATAGTTGGACCTGTGGGCTCGGAACCATACTCACAGGGACATCAAGCTCAACTGGCATAATATAATACACAAAAACATTGTTCCACCTCCTACTTTGGCAAGTAGTGACTGAGATCTTAAAAGCTAGCAAGCTGCCATCTAGATGCAACAAGGAGTCTCTCCTCATCCAGAGCAAAGAAGAATGAAGAAAAATGAAGATTCATGGAAACAATTAGTCCAAGTGACTGGTACACCATATGATCCTCAGCCTATACAACTATGAGACCAGAAGAACTAGATGGTGCACGGCTACCACTGTCAACCACTTAGAGGGGGATCTATATAGGAGATCCTGGATAGAGTGGGAGAACAATAGGGAACAAAACTCAAAATCATTTGAAGGACCAGGTTTGCTGTTGTGATAGAGCCTGATGGAACCACTGAGACTATGGCTCCTAACTGCCCTTCAGGTCTGGAATTGAACCCACTCCTGTGTCTTCCAGCCTAACAAAAGACAGGCATATGAAGTGAACATTTACACTAGGTAGATACACTCCTTGGAGAGAACATCATGGGAGAATAGAAGGGCTGTGTATGCACAGGGAGAGAGCCCAGAGGGCAGGAGTGCATGGAGGGAAGGATACAGGGAATAGGTGACTACAGGGAGGAAGTGGGAGGAGTAATGTTGCATTGTGGTTAACTGTAATCAGTGTCATGAGACAAAGCGTATGTGAACTGCTATATGGAAAGTGAATTTGGTGTGAAAACTTTCACCCAAATCACAATAAAAAAAATAAAAGTCAGTCAGTTCATTTAACTCCTAGTTCTCAAACTAACTGGCTTCTTATCACACTTAGAATAAAATTCAAATTGTCATACACCATGACCTATATATAATGTAGTTTACTATCTGGCCCAGGGCTTCCTCTGACATCATTTCTTCCAATTCATTTGAACATCCCCAGCTAAAGAAGTTCCTTGCAGACTTTGAACATACTAAGGACATGTCTTAGAGTCTCTGAATGCACTTGACTCTCTGTCTGGGACACACTGTCAAGACCACTGCAAGCTTTGCTCCTTCATATCATACAGATCTCTGAACAAGGATGCTTCTGTGCCGCCCTATCAGAAACACAATACTTTCACTTCAGGCTCTTTTCCTCTCTTTACCATGCTTGGATTTTCTTCATAGCATTAAAAATTGAGTGACATAATATTATATAATTGTATTTGTTTGTCTGCTTATAATCAATTTCCCACAGTAGTATACATGTGTTTTGGTATCAAGGACCTTATCAGTCTTTTTCATCATTGTATCCTTAGTAACTGTAACAGTAACTGATGTAGAGGAGATGCTTAATAAATATTTACAGGATAACTGCATAAACTCCAGAAATAAAATTTTAGCTAATGATCCATATGCATAATTAATTCAGGATATTATTTATATTTACAATTACCAAAGTGCTTCCAAATACTTATATGTGAATGCCCTAAATGAGCTAGTCTATATAAAAATAGAGCAACTGATCACACTGATGAGTAAGTCATAAAAAATTATGTAAACCTCGCTGAAGTACTCTGTTTATGAAAAAAATCATATACGATTCAGAAAATTTCCATCGAGTTTTAAAATTATAGGTTCTCAACCAAGAGGACAACCAGAATGTTACACCTCTAGATTTGTTGCAAAAGCAAGAATGCATCATCACTTACCTCCCTTTTTCTACTAAGATCAAGACATCCAATTTTTCCCCATTTTGAACCATTGTGCTGATAGCTGGAAAGGTAAGAGAAAAGCATGAACATATTTAAAAAAAAAAAATGAGAGGAAAATTACTTTATCCAAAGAATTTGGTCTTTGTCTCTGATTCCTGGGAGTTAATTTCTAAACCCCTGAAATTTGGAGGTATTGGATTGCCTTTATTGTTTACTAAGGCCTCCAGACCACACCTAAAAGTTAATGATAATGAGATGATCAGGATGAGGCTTAGCCAAGCCAAAAACACATACCACATGGTATCAGCCAATCTCCGAGAAGTGGAGATAGCTGGAGACTGAGTCCAATCACATGGCCAATTATCATAACTGAGTTCATAACTTCAAAACTGAATTCAAACTTTATAATGTGCTAGTTAAGGAAATCATGCCAAGTAATCAAATTTCAATAAAAACGGGGACCACTAAAACTCAAGTAAGCTTTCTGGTAGACATCAGTGAACCAAGAAGATAGTATTTCCCTAGGGACACAGAAGCTCCATATTTGGAATCTTCCTACACCTCATCCTATGCAACATCACTTTATGCTATTCTGGATTTGTATCCTTTATGTATGGTTACTGCCATTCTGACAGGATTATACCACAAATGGATGTCTTGAAAAATTTAAAAAAAAATCTCACTGCCATCAAGTTGGATCTGACTCATAGCAACTCCTCCTTAGGTTTCCAAGGAGCTATCACCACGGAAGTAGATTGCCCAATCTTCCCTCTGAGGAGCGGCTGGTGGGTTTGAACCACCAGCCTTTTGGTTAGCAGTCAAATGCCTTATGCACTACATTACCAGAGCTCCTTGTCTTGAACAAACAGTAATTTATTCTCTTATAGTTGTGGAGGCTAGAAGTCTGAGTTCAAAGTGCTGGGCTCTAGGGGCTGGGTGAAAACACATCAACCTTGGGCTCTGCCTACTGCTCCTAACCACTGAAGCTAGAGACATCTCTTCACTCATGCAGCTGCTGGCTGCTGAGGCTGACAAACCCAAGGTTTGTCGAGTAAAAAAACACAGTCCCAATATTACCAAACCACAGGCAGGGCATTGATTCAAGTCCATTCAAAGTCTCAAGATCGGCAAAGCATGGCAGGCTACTGAATGAAAAAAAAGCTGCAGACCATTCCCAAAGCTTCTGCTTATATAAGGAAAGCAGACCACATCCTTAAAGCAGCTACTCAGCTGCTCAAGGCAGATTCCACCATGGAGCCGATTGCCATGACGGGGAATAACTACCACTAGCTGCCTAGCCACTCAAACCCAGGCCCAACCAAGTTGACATACAACCTTAACTACCACACTTTATTTTTTAAAAAATTGTACTTGTAAATACAGGGCTTTCCTGAGTTCAGTGAGTCATTCTAGCAATTTAAGGAATGGTGGAAATCCCAAATTTGTGGCCAGTTGGTCAGAACTGCTGTGGTCCTGGGAACCCCTGAGCTTGCAGCTGGTTTCTGAAGTCCTGGGCAGACTTGGCACTCTGGAGGACTGTGACCTTAATGTATGAAGTTAGGTAGCTATGGTCAGAAGAACTGTATTATAATTAATATCAGAACAGAACTGGACTAATTTATAAAGCCAACTCTATGGCAGTAAGTGAGTGAGTGACAGAAGTATATTACACTAAATACCCATAAAGACATACTAATGCTACTGTGTTCTACGTGTTCAGGAGAGAAATATAATTTTAAGTAAAAGACTACCATTCTCACATGCCATAAATAATTGTGAACCAAAGATGGGACCTGGGGGAAGAAGGTATCTTACTTAGCTCTTGCAGTCTTCTTAAGTGCATTCTGTCTTCCTGAGCTTCTTGCATTTGAAGGCAAAAGCGCAAGGTAGATTTGTCCATAGCAAACCAGCCTTTTCTCCATTGATCCAAGGCATGGCAATCTTTGTAGTAGAGTTGACCAACCAAATCATAGTCAGCTTCTGTTAAGTTTTCAGCAACAAAGGGAACAAAATGCTGTTGAAACAAATAAAGATAATAAAGACAGTGAAAATAGGAAATCTCTTCCTTTTTATACATATGACAGAAAACAGAAAAATTAATCTTTTTAAAACTATTTTAAAGATTTATAAATGTACCCAAATTTCAAAATAATTATCTAAACTTGATATCTGTCTTAAAACTGAATAATTATAAAGCACCTTTTTATACTAGCCCTTTTAACCATATTTCTTGATACATATATAGATAGGTATAGATATACAGATATACAGATATAGATATAGATACACAGACACACACACATATTTAGAAAGAGAGAGAGATGGGGTGAGAGTTGAAATAGGAAGGCATTATCTGCTGATTTGTGACTTCTTTCTAAATATCAACCTTCAAAGTGTCTCTCCATTTACATCTTTCATTAAATCTATTTCTTTCTCCATTGTGTAAATCATAAATAAGATCTCTGCCTATAAAAAGACATACACAGAAATGACTACAACATTGCAAAGATCTGAACCACCATGGTTTATCCATGGTTTTAATTTCTTCTGTGCTAAAGACTCTAGGAATGCCGCTCTTAACCTCTTTCGACAACACCCTTTAACAATCTAATCAAGTATAGACTAGAATGTTTTAGAAAATGTGAAACTCTGAAGCTCACTCATAGACTCTAGCTTAAGACTTCTCTCTAGATGTATGATGATGGTGTTTTCGTGTGCCATTTAGTTGATTCTGATTCATAGTGACCCTACAGGACAGAGTAGATATGCATCATAGGGTTTCCTAGTCTGTAATCTTTATGGGAGCAGATCACCAGGTCTTTTCTCCATGGAGTTATTGGTGAGTTTCAACTGGTAACCTTTCAGATAGCAGTCAAGTGCTTAATCATTGGGCCAACAAGCTTCCTTCAATTTAGGTAATAACACAATATTTAAATACCTTGGCTATGGCCTCTGTCCATTTTCTTTGTGCTTGAGATGTTTCAGCTCCAAATAAAAACACACGTTCTGAGGGTAAGTAGATCTCAAAGGTAAAGATGGGCCTATAGGTCACATAAATAAAAAGATAGCATCATATTATATATGTTTGATTCTTATGAAGACATATAATGCAAAGTTGAAACTGTTAATTAAAGTCCTTAGGAAAATGAGATAATGCAGTGAAATCTATTTATCTACAACAGTATTATTCTATTAATAGTTTGCATTTATGCTAGTGAATTAAATGAGAACACAATGGATTAGACAGAAAGGAATATTCTTTTGATTATGTAAGCCACTGGACCACATGACTGCTAATGCATTAGACACTTCATTGGTTGTCTGACAAAGCAAAGGATTCTCCTCAGCCTCTTGTTTCTTCAACCATTCCTCAGTTTACTCTGACCAATTGATTGATGCAAATACTGTCCAAACAGTTCAATTAGCCCTCTCCTTATTTTACTTCACAAATTTTCCTTAAGTTATCTCAACCAATCCCAAAATTTCATCTCCTTAGATTAGATAAAATTTGAATAACATTTCCTGCCCTGAGTTCTTCATCCACAATTCCAACAATTTCTTAGAACGTGCTAAGTAATGTGCTCTTATTACCTCAAACACTCAAAATATACTAAAATCATCCTCTTTCTTACTCTCAACCTTCTGTATACCCTTCATGTTCTGATTTTAAAGCATCACCATCTACATCATGTCACTTAAAACCTTGTAGCTGTATTTATTCATCCCCTTAGCATTAATTCCTTCTCCAGTCAGTAAGTCATTTAATCTTCTGATTGTATCAGTAAGATTCTCTCAAGCTCACTGTACCTGCTCTTTTTAATAATCTTTCCCTCGGGATACACTCTCATCAATTATAGTCTCTCTTCCCTCTCCTGCTTACCACTTTTTCCAGATATCTTCCTAAAATACAAGTTTGCATAACTACTCAATGCCTGCATAACTGAATTCAAACTCTATAATATGCTGTTTAAGGAAATTCAGAATCTGTCTGCAACAATTATTTTTAACCTTGTCTCATTGCAAATGCTCTCCCTGTGCACCAACTTGCATCAGTTACATTTCATCAAGAATGTTGATGTTTATGCTGACTTAATACTAATTTTTAATTATAATGTATTTATTAAGAAACTTAATAAAATGAATGCATTTATTTTAACATTCCATGGGCAACAACATTAAATTGATTATTCACCTAGAACAAAAGCCCTATTATGATTAGATAAAACAAACCAACTAATTTTGTTCTCATTAAAAAAAAAAAAAACCTACACTTTCTAGAAAAATAAGTCATTGCAGCTAATCCAAATATGTCATTAACTAATAATGTAATTTTTATGTAATTTTATGTAAATAGCATAGCTTTGCAAATCTTCCCTTTACCATACAAAATTATTATTTACATACTATGCTCCTATGTAATTAATTTCAATATTTGCATGTTTTCATTATTTATATCAGAAAATTTGATACGAACCTTTCACATCAAAGATTTCAGATGGTCTGTGTCAAAAAGTCCTCACAAAAATTCTATTAAATTATTTTGGAGTAAAATATATTAAATAAATAACTCTTCTAATTACAACTTTTTTTAGACCATTAGGATGCAAAAGGAATTTAGCATTTCAATATGCTATTAGATATATGTAAGATTTTACTTTAATGTAAACAAATCATCATTGAACTGTCTCTTTTGTGACCTGTTTTAACTATGATTATCCTTAAAGAACGCATCAACTTTACCATTAGATTCACTATTTTTCAAAATGAGTAAATCATAAAAATTACAGGAGAATGGACTGTTGTAAATTTACTTAAGATCACCTGGGAACATGTTAGCCTTCATATTACCTAGCACAATATTTTAATCGTCCTACTTTACACTGAATTATCTAACGCTCAAGCAGAAGTTACAAAAAGGAGAAGTGTCAAAAGACAATTAAATCCTTCTATAAGAAGCAGCTGAAAAACTGAATTGATAACAAAACACTTCTTCCCTTCTGTGACGTCATTAAGTGGTGCTGAGTTGGTTCCAAGTCATAGCAAGCCCATGGAAAGTAGAACGAAACAGTGCCAGGCCCTGTGCCGTCCTCAAAACTGTTCCTATTCTTGAACCCACTGTAACAAATATCTGAAAATACCTTTTACCTCTTAACTGTTTAATATTAGACCTACCCGGTACTTAAATAGAAGTCCTCTTTGTGTATAACCAGGCAGATAACTTCATTGATATTAATGGTGCCATTAGGTGTGGTAGACTTATCATTTTCATAGTAACTCAAAAAGCCTCCTTCCAAAACACACCACTTTTTATTTGTCTCTGTGAAATTAAAAGATATCAATTAAATAAATAGAACTGTATTATATAACATGTTTAAAAAAATCATGGTTTTAAATTATGACTGCATATTAATAAATAAATATATTAATTTCCCATTTTGTCCAAGAGTATGCAATCACTGCATGGGATATAAAGTTGTCAAACTTTCTGCTCTCAAGACACTTAGAATGTAGTAGCTACGGATGTACAAGACAAAAATAATGATGGCACAGATGACCAAAGAAGCAGGTGAATCCATAATGAGACTGCTGCAAGGTAACTCTGAAATTGCAAAGCCTGATGTTCCAGAGTATTAGGAGGTAAAAGATGTAGTATAAAAAGTGAGACTGTGGTGGTTGTTAGGTAGGTGTGCGAAGAAGACAGGATTAGAATCTGCAGTGCCATTAAAGTCTTGTTAACAAAAAAATCCACTGCCATTAATCAATTCTGACACATAGCAACCCTACTGGACAGAGTAGAACTGTCCCATGAAGTTTCTAAGCAAGTATATATATACATAAGCAGATTGCCGTATCTTTCTCCTAAAGAGCAGCTGTTCGGTTCTAACTGCGGCGTTTACGGTTAGCAGTCAAATACTTTAACCACTAAACCACCAGAACTCATTGTTGGGGGACTTAAAATTCATCTTGTAAACCCAAAGCCATTCCTCAGAAGGAATATTGGGCAATCTACTTCTATAGAAGTACTGCCTCAAAAACCCAAGGAGGGGTCACTATGAGTGGTAATCAACTTGACAGCAGTGAGTACAGATAGGGGCCATGAGCCAAATCCAGCTCATCACTTGTTTTTGTAAATAAAGTTTTCCTAGAACACAGCCACATTCATTCAATTGCGGATTATCTATAATGGCTACCAAACTACAAGGACAGAGCTGAGTAGTCACAGCAGAGACCACTTGGCCTGCACAGCCTACGATATTTATAATGTGGCCCTTTAAAAAAAAACAAATTGCCAATTATATAGGTCATGGTGAGCCATTTTCACTCGGTTCAACAGAAAAATATAATCAAATTTGAGTTTTACAAACTGTTTGCTGTGAAAAATAGAGTTGAGAGGGTGAAGTGAAAGGTAGTGAGGCCAGTTTAGAACACTGCTGACAGCAGTTTAAGTGAGAGATGAAAAGGACCAAAATCAGGACAATGGTGTTAAGGATAATGGGGGGAAAATAAAGGCAAGCGAGAGGGTGGGGGGAGAGAAGGAGAGACAGATACAGAGAGAGAGAGAGAGAGATGAATAAATGCACATGTGTGTTGTACAGAAATAAGGCATACTGATTGGATAACGGCTTACCAGAGAACTTACTAACGATTCTATCATTATTAGCCTTGATTATGAGGTAGGTACTGACAGCTACAAGGCAAGTGGTAGTTGAAAATATGAAGGAGACAAAGCAAAAACTATGGAGAACTTAAAACTATAAGGAGTAATGGATATAGAAGGATCATAAGAGTTATAATGAATGTAGGAAAAGGACAGTATATGAAACAGAAAGGAATGATGTATTTCAAATTAAGGATAACAAAGAAATCTAATAAAGTAAGAACTGAAAAAAATACCCGTTCATCTTCATAATGAGGAGGTAATAAACTACTTTACTCAGAGTGCTGTGAAAGAAACCAGGTGTAGCATATTGAAGACTAAAAGGGGAAGTAATGAGTGAAACAAGTCAGGACAAATCAATACTTCATGGTATTAAAAATATACAATAAATTACAAAAGAAAAAAAAAAATCAAAAGAAAGCTAAGGAAAAGGACTCTGCCAGAAAGGAAAACAGGAGAGGAAAAAGGTAAAATCAGGTAATAGAGCCATAGGGTCCAACATCCAACCAACAGTATTTCTAAGAAAGAAGTAGATGAGAATTATGAGATGAGAAATTATAGATGAGAAAATGTATTAAAGACAGATGGGTAATGTGTACAAATAGAAAGTCAATGAAGAAACTTGTTTCCCATTACAGATATGTGCATGTTCTGCACTGGTAAAAATGAAAAATTAGACTTAAAAAAATAGGTCATCAAGATCACCAGTTACTAGGTTATACCCAGACAACGTAGAAACCACATACAGAGACAGGGTTCTCTAACTTGGGCAATACTCAGTAACCTCAGAGGTCTGGAAGCAGTGAAAACAGACAGGAGTTTGGCCAAGCTGCTTACTTATAACTGTAGGCAGAATGGAATTTCAAAACAGACAATTTTAAGAAGTAGCGGGAATGCTTTTTTTGCAATTGCAATAAGGATACAAATGAAGGTCTAAGAATGCTGTGGGACCAGAACTGACTCACTGCCATCGAGTCAGATCCAACTCATAGTGACCCCTCCTTGGGTTTCTGAGGCAGTATCGCTATGGAAGTAGATTGCCCAATCTTCCTTCAGAGGAGTGGCTGGTGGGTTTGAAATGCCAGCCTTCTGGTTACCAGTCAAATGCCTTAGGCACTACCACCAGAGAATCCAAACCAGAACTGGTGTTTTTTTTTTTAAATGATCCAGGGTTGTTAAAAAAGTATAACCAAAATATCAAAGATGTATATATAAAAATAAGGCTAACTATACAAATGTAATTACAGAATTAGTAATACTTTAACCAAATTCTGCCAATATATCAGCTATAATAAGAGAATATAATTTTAGATAGTATAGTACATTATAGGTTACAAAAATATCACATTCAATACAGTCATAAAACTATCTGTTGGAGACAACAAATATGAACCCTTTTGCGTATACAGTACTGAGTTGTCAGTGAAAACAAACATGGGTATATGGTCGGATAGATAGGTGGATAGGCTAAACAATTAGGTATGTCTAAATGGGGAGTGATCCAAGATCATATATTGGGTTGGCAGACAATGGTCCTATAAGTTTATGTGAATGATCAGAATTCCCAGGTGTATGGTAGAGCTGACAAGGGGCAAGGTTATGGTCATTTCTTGGTCACAGCCAGCTACCCAAAGTGACTGAGTAGTTGATCCTGTGGGCTTGGGACCATAGTTGCAGAGGACATCAA